CGTTCGTGGTAAAACGGAGCTTGTCGCCGACCCTGAAGGTGGTGTGCACGGGATTCCCCTCGTCGTCCTCGAAATTGCGAAGAGCGCCCTGCGCTTCCCCTGGCCTCAGGGCAACGTGCTCACCCACCAATGCGCCGGTGCCGAGCGCCGAGTGCCCGGTAGAGTTGTCGAAGACCATGACCAGCTGCCGGTGTGGCTCGCTTGTCAGCTCGTGGATGGCGATGAGCCCCGGAATTTGCTCCAACATCCGTGCGCAGTTCCAGTACCCGTCTTGGTGTTGCCCTACAGTCATGATGACCGCCGCCGTGGAAGGGTCGTTCTTCGTTTTCTTCACCTGGCAGGCGCCGGGAATCCCTTTCAGCAGCTCGACGGCATCCTGCACGAGCTTCACGGCATGGCCGTCCTTCCCCTCGCCCTCTTTCCTGCCGAAGTAGATCCCGGAACGCTCGTAGCGTCCAGGAAACACCCGATGCGTCGGCGCCTCCCCGTCCTTGGGAGCCGGCCGCGCGACCTCAACCGTGTCATCCTTATCTTCGACCACGTTCATGTCTTCCTGCATCATGCCCCAGGCCTCCTTCCCTATCGCTGCGACCCCTCTANCGTAGCGTCCGGGAAACACCCGATGCGTCGGCGCCTCCCCGTCCTTGGGAGCCGGCCGCGCGACCTCAACCGGGTTCTCCTTATCTTCGACCACGTTCATGTCTTCCTGCATCATGCCCCAGGCCTCCTTCCCTATCGCTGCGACCCCTCTATCCACCCCAATTATGTCAGATATGTGCGCGGCGCGTCCTTCCCCCTTCTCCTTGATGGCGGCGCCCTTCAACACCGACACCCACTGGTTGCTGCCGTTGTCGTTCTCCTTCGCCGTGGTCTCGTCGTGAAAGTAGAGGGCGAGGACCTCGTGGTCGGGCACCAAGCAGAAATCCCCTCGCCCGTCCCGCCCCAGCAGGTCACGCGGGTTGAAAGGGACCCGCAAAGAGCTGTCAAACGGCTTGCGTTTGCAGCCGTTCAACCCAACAGGAACACTAACCGCGCGCTCTCTCATTTTCACGTCCGTCCCCTTCCCTCTGAAAGTCCGAGACGCGAAACCGCGGATCCGTTTTCTTCCGGCAGGAAAGCCGCCGGTCGATTTCCTCAACGCTCGGCGATGTTCTCATGGTCGATGAAGGAGTCCGCCTGGCTTATCTCGTAAAGTCGTTTTCTGATGAGAAATTTTCCGTCTTGGCAGAACTCCTTTACCCACTTGCGCACCGTCTGCGCTGTGGTTTTCACCACATCTCCGACGTAGCGGCTGTGCCGCATCTTGTTGACACCTTCCTCAATCCTGAAGGCAACGACGTCAACATGGGAACGATGAGTGCTTCACACAAGAATATTCTTCAAGCCTTCGGCGTTACGACTCTGAAGAGAGCATGGCAGAAATACACAACGTACGCCGTGCGCCCGGTCACACATAGGAAGAGGGTCCAAAAATGCAACAAACAGATAATCACCAAACGTACCAGCTACACATGCTACTCGGCAACCACTTCGCCAGGGAACATTGTATGTATGTACAGAGCACGCCACGAACCAGAGGGCAAGTGCGATCTCAAAGAGCAGAAATGCAGCAGTGCGAGCAGCAAGCACACGGCGCTTCTTGGGCGTTTCCACTTACTCGAGGACAGCGTACGCCCGAATCGCCAAGGCGGTACGCATGATGGACGGGAGACGAGATTCCGTCAGCATTTCCGTCGGGTCCTCCACAATACCGCTGTAGCTGTTGGACTGCTCCGCCTGTACGGAGGTGTGCACAGAAATTGAAATTCAAGCAATCAAAACCGGGAAGGCGTCAGATTGAGGGACATGGTTGCATTCAACAGTTGCAAATTATTATTGACAGACAAGCAGGAATGGTTTCGGCAGTGGCACTAGCTCCACAACAAATCCAGGATACAGGAAACAGCAGCCACGAGGGAAGCAGTATGCTAGCAGCAAACTAATCAACGGCAACAACACTACCACGCAACACTCTGAAATACATTGCATACTTATTCACCTTGTCGATAGCGTCCACCACTTTCTGGTAGATGTCCAAGAGCTCCTTCTCTCGCGGCGTGTTCTCCCGCCTTCTCTGCGCTTTGAGTGCTCGCTCTCGCGTTCGCTCTCGCGATCGCTCTCGCGCTTCTCGCTCTCACGCTCGTTGTTCCGGTGTCTTCTTCCTCTCCTCGCGCCTTCTGTGCTTCAATCGTTTTTTGTTCAACCCCGCAAACCTCCCCTTGGCTCCATCCCCCGACGCCACCCGTGTTCCTCGCCCAGGCCCACTGCATCGGCCGCGTGCCCCGTCTCGTGCGCGGGCGGGGTCGGCGTACAGCCCGTCGAAAAGGTTCGTCCTCGAACTTTTTCGGACGGTCTCACCACTTGTACCGCTAGAGGCTGCGTGCCCGGCTCCTCCCACAGCTGCTGTTTCGCCGGTGTCTCCCACAGCTTCTGCTTCGCCGGTGTCCTGAGGCTGAACATCATCATCAGCCTTGTCGCCGCTCTCTCCGTCAAGTTCGCCGGGGCCGCGAGAGCGGTCGCGGCTTGCGTCTAGTGCGTCGATAAAGCTGTCCTCGCCGCTGGAATAAAGAAGCTCTGCAGCTCTAGCCTGGTCATCCTCACCAAACCAATCTTCCAGCGGAACACCAACACCCGAACATACCAGCATGTCGGTCTCGCTCTCGCTGCTGTTGCCACGGCTGGTGCGGTCATGTTCTTCTTGCGGGCTGCAGATCTGCTCGGCATCATGATCACTGCTGTCCGCACCAACGTCTCCCACCTCAACATCCATCTCCACCGCACCTTCCGTCTCCATAATTTGAGGCGAACCATGCTGCCCTTCCTGCTGCTGAGCTGGGGGCTCCAGCCATGTTGCCAAGCTCCCCGCCATCCCGGCGTCCTCCTTGCTCCACCGCGCTCGCCTGTGGCGATGCTGCGTCGACCGGTGGAGAGGTTGCACCGCGTTTTTTCGCGCAGGCGGCGCGACTTCGGGCGCCACCGCCATTGCTGTGCGAGCTGCTGCAGACACCGCAGCGCTCGCTGCAGAGCGAACCGCAGAACCGAACGGCAGTTTCGCCTGCCCGCGACCTGGCTCGCCACCCGCATCCTCATCGCGCCAGTCGTCGTCGTGGTCGTTGGTGTGCATGGGAGAAATATTGGCGCCTTCATGGTCGGAAGAGGGAGGAGAGTCGTTGCCTACAGCAGGGTCCGCAGGGGGCGAAGGGGCCTTCCGAATCGTGCCGTCGGCGTTCCTTGGCAGCTTGCGCTTACCCTTTGGGCGACCCATGTGCCCGGAGCGCGTGTGCGTCTTTCGTTGCGTGCGTAAAGGGTGTGTGTGTGTGTGTCCTCTGGTGTGTGTGTGGCGGGAAAAAATTCCCCGAGGGCGTGTGAAACCACCCGAAATATCTCCGAAACCCGAGTTTTTTTTTGTGATCGGAAAAAAATCATCGGTGGGAAATCACGAGAGGAATCGATTGCAGCNCATGGTCGTTGGTGTGCATGGGAGAAATATTGGCGCCATCATGGTCGGAAGAGGGAGGAGAGTCGTTGCCTACAGCAGGGTCAGCAGGGGGCGAAGGGGCCTTTCGAATCGTGCCGTCGGCGTTCCTTGGCAGCTTGTGCTTACCCTTTGGGCGACCCATGTGCCCGGAGCGCGTGTGCGTCTTTCGTTGCGTGCGTAAAGGGTGTGTGTGTGTGTCCTCTGGTGTGTGTGTGTCCTCTGGTGTGTGTGTGGCGGGAAAAAATTCCCCGAGGGCGTGTGAAACCACCCGGAATATCTCCGAAACCCGAGTTTTTTTTTTGATCGGAAAAAAATCATCGGTGGGAAATCACGAGAGGAATCGATTGCAGCACTTTGTTTTTGAATCGTACGGTTGGATTGTCCCCAAGAAACTAAGCAAAATACCCTCCAATATCCGTTTTTTTGCCCATAACTCCGTTATTTTTTGTCAAATTGGAAATCGGAAAAAAATCATCGGTGGCAAACCACGAGAGCTGTCCAAATCCGGTCTCAGATTTTGTGTCTGCAAAAAACACCGCCCTCCAGAAAGTAAGCACGATTTCTTGAATATCTGAACATATCGAGCGAAGGACGAAAAAAAAAAAAATCTCCGTACGAAGATGCGCCTTGAAACGTCGATTTACGCGGTATTTTCAGATTTCGGAATAAGTACCCCCACCCCGAGAAAAGTGTACCTTTGTGCAGGGGAAAATATTGTGAATTTTTCCGGAAACGGACCATATCTCTGCCGAAACGCAAGGCGCTCTCCTTCGAAGCACATTTATCTTGCTAGTAGTATTGATTGGTGCCGACAGGTGAATATAAAATATCCCGATCTGCGTAGCCTACACGCACACACAAGGACTCCCGCACACCCAAAGACTCGTATATACCCATAATATTCGAGGCATAGTCTTCAGGTCCAAGTATGACCACAGTGTTTTCTGTACAATACATGCAACGTACAGGTTTTGCAACGGAAACGCTTTACAAGAGACCTCCCCTTCTCTCGATTTGGTCCTTGGTCCAAGTTGGGGCTGTGTTTCGATTGTTTCGATCCGTACAAGAGCACCAAACTAGTGTGCATATGTGAAGTGTAGGGATTGAGGACGGGGGCAGTACTTGTACAGCATATCGGTTTTATTAGTAGCATGTTGTTGTTGTTGTTGTCTTCACATGAAAAACCGTTCCGATCTCTCTCTACCCAGTACCACCTTCGTATGTCCGTACTGATACAACACTCGACGCGGTCGATTCCCGTGGTCGCAGGCTAACTTACCCTAAAAAGGTACACTCAAATAAAGTGGCCCCGAGGGGTCCGCAAGTCGATAGAAATCAACGCCAGATATTCTGGAGTTCTCCACTCCCTCTGCGCACTATGCGAGGTAACAACTGAGACTAGGGGTCATCATAACGGGCCGGAGAGAATGAGGCACACCCCCTTGATTCAATCTTGGTACTTCACAACGCAAGCAGAAACAAGGCCACCTGGCACAGAAAAAGAGAGAAAAAGAGAACAAGAGCAAAATAGAAGCAAATAAAAGGAAAGGGTAAGGAAAAAGAAAATGAAATAAAAAGAGCGAGGACAAAAAGGGACCAAGCCGAAAATAGAAATAAGAGACAGAAAAAGGCACACGGTGGAGAGACCACTAACGACAAGCAAACACGCAAACATGGCCACCAACCAGCGATACATTGTAATGGTACGTCATCACTAGTGGGGGGTTGGTGCAATGGTGCAGC